TACCATATACCATACGACTCTCTTGCGCTCCCACTTGCTCTTTCCAGCCCCTATAGGTCGCCTCGACGCTTCACCACCTGACCCAAGCGGTCCCATCACTCCGTGCGACACGCCGGTCACGTGTTAATTACCTCCGGCCGTTTGCTGACTGATGCTGACCTTATGGTGACTCGTATGCGTCCGCACCTTCGGTATCTTGACGGAAACGAGGGGGAGTGAGTGCTGGAGGGTGGGCATGAGGAAGACGCCCCTCGATAGAAGTGTCCGCGGGTCCCGGATCTAACGCAGCTAGAAGTCGCATTGGTTAAGTAACTCCGGAGCTTCGGTGCGCGGAGATAAATCGCTGAAAGGGGTCCGAGTACGCCTCGAGGATGTTGGGAAGTCCGGAGCTAAATAGAAAAAGTCTTTTAGAGCCCATAGAAGCCTAGAGGCGTGCGAGCGCTGTGTCGAATAAGCTCCGGGGCACTTGTATGATGTGCTGAATCCGCGTTTTCGGGGGTCAGACGATCCTGAGGCTTATCACCGGTCGCTGTGCCCCAGTCTGCGGCGACACCGGTGAACGCACCAGTAGTCGCGGTCGGTACAGGCCTCACGGACACCGAGCGTGCCCAGCGTATCGCGGCTCGGATTAAAGCAAACTTGGCGGCGGCGGGCACCCATACCACCATCAGGCCCCTGGCACCCACCGCACCTGCTGTGCTCGCGTCCTTCACTCCCCCGCCCGTGGGAGGCTTCCCGGATATCTATCAATTCAGCAATGCCGCAAACTACGAGAACATGGACGACGCCCAACTTGAGACTTGGTCACTCCAGCAAAACAAGTTCATGGCCACGGTCTTCAATTTTGACAGTGCGAAGGCGGCGATAGAGGCTGAGATGCAGCAGGTAGCAGCAACCCTCAAGGCCGTGATCGGCGAGATTATGGGTGGAGCAAATAACCCTGTGGTAGACCATGTCGGGGTCGCAATGCCCATCGCCAGTGACCTCACCTCTGCGCACCCGACATCCCTTCTCGTTTTCAATGTCCCTACAGAGTACCTCGAACTGATCCTGAAGCAACGGGTGTGGGCACATGAGAAGATCACGCTTGTTGCCTGGCCCATGTCCGACGATGTCCCCTTCCCCCTCATGCTCTTCATCCTCGGGGGATTCACAACTACGGACCCAGAGGCTGTCAAGACCATTGTTACTAACACATGGCTGTCCGAACCTGCCTGCTGGCAGATCGCCGCCATCATCAGCGACGACCTGGGTACCGATGAAGGCAACCTCATCACGGTGACAGAGACTTTCGTCCGTTCCCTTCGCGTTATCCGCCTTGACCTCCACTTCCGCGGCGGCACCCCCTTCCATCAATATCAGATCTGTGCCGAGACGCCCGTCTTCCAGCCCACAACTTGGTTCACGCTCCGCGAATACCTCTTCAAACTCAAGTACCCCTCTAGCCTCTACGGCTGTGGGGCGGCGGTGGACTTCTACTCCTGCGCGCTGTGCCACAGTGTTGCCCACCCGAAAGGGTTATGCCTCTTCCCCACCATCACAAACTGGAAGGGACCATCTTGGAACAGTGCAAGTATCACGCTCGAGCCCCGTGTCAACTCCAGCAACCGGGGGGGATTTGGTGGTCGAGGCCGTGGCTCTACGCGTGGGCGTGGTCGTGGACTCTAATAGCCTGCTGGTCCGGCAAATAACCCTCATATGTTAACAAAAGGGCAGTTGCCCATGGGCGCAATGCCCACCCTTCCTTTTCTCTCGCAAAACTCTGTCCTCTAGTATAAGCCTGTAGCATGATGTTATGCAAATGCGACTCGAATATAGATGCCGTGTCGAGTGAGCCCAAGCACCTTCAACTAAGTAATGGTGAATCCACTACGACTTCGCAGCCAACCCGAGGTGGCGTGAAGCCGCAAAGTGGTGCATAGCCACGAAGTAGCACGAAGCTGGGGACTTCACGCTACTGCACCCCTAACCCTAGGCCCAAATATACTGACCGGTTTCCGGGACAGGAAAGCCAATGGGTCCCCGCGCCCGCTATCGGGCACAAATGGCGGCCTATTTAGGCCTGGACGTGCCGTACTGAGAAGTTGAAGTCCTTGACTGCCCTAGGCGCAAACCTCGGGGAATGCACCATGGGCACCACTGACATAGTCTACCATGGTTAGCTGGGATATGCTAATCCTCACCCGCACGATGGCCATATGGCGGTGTCAGACTAGGAGATCGTTCGAATGCCAAACTAAGCTGTCGCTGCGCGCTGAACGTATCCCTTCCAGGCCTGAACTGTACCACAAGTACCAGCTTCAAGCCACTACATTTGGAATATACAGATCGGTAATGGAAGGTTTGGTGGACAGTATCTTCAATAACTGGCTGGGAATCGACAATGAAGACATATACGACATTGACTTCAATCATGCAAAGCACTTGCTGATGCAAGGAGAACAGTTTCGGCGCAGCATCAAAGCAGGAGGACTGTGAGAATATTCAGGGCGCAGAATATTCTAGGAGGATCCGAGACATTCCACTGTTTTCCCTTGACATGACTCATTCTATGTCCATACGACTCATTCCATGCCTTTATGACTCACTCCCTTACATATGACTCATGCTATGCGGATATGACTCATTCTATGTCAATATGACTCATGCTATTCCCTTCTATTTATAGAGATGAGTCATGTTGACTCAGCCTATGCTCAAGGACCAATCACAAGTCC